AAGTTTCCCATTTCTCAATCCATCCATTTATAAAGATGAGTGACCTGAGATCTGACTGCTAGTCTGAAATATAAAGAGTAAAATATAAAGAACTGGCCTTGGGGTAAAGCACATTAAAGCTGTGCTCCTCACTTCTCTCCAGGCTCGCATCCATTCTGGCTAAATTGACCAGTTACTATTCACTTATGAACCAGCGACTGGTCAATTCAGCCAACGCAGTCAAGTGGCTGCATCACTACGAATGTGCCTCTGTTGCCACTTACCACTATAACTTCAAGGAATGTCTGATACTAACTGCATGAGGAGGGATAAGCATTTAGCTGCTTTGTTCAGAATGGTATATGTGACTCTAATACATGTTATTATTGGGTTCCAAATGCTGACCACATCAGAATCATCTGGGAATCTCTGTCAACTGGACATATCCCAAGACATTGAGAGTCAAAGGTCTGGAGTGAGGAGCAAGAGTTGTATTTTGAAGAGTTCTTAATTTCGTACAGCTTTATCTGGAGGGTCAGCAGTGTATTCCAGGTCCTAACCCCAGAACCCCGCTGTAATCTTAAATCCCAGTTAATCTGCAACAGCCTCTTTGCGGTGACTCCACTGTCATTAACAACAAGAGAATGAGCTTCATTGAGGATAGAAACATCTATTCAAACACATACGTCTTCAATAATAAGTCATCACAATAAAAATAAATGTTCAGAAATACTGCATCATACAATAATGACATTCTAAAAGGTTTCCCATTTCAAATGTTCTATCTATGTGGCAAAGCAATCAGAGTGTGAGAGAGGCATAATTAGTCATTTTAGTGCTTGGTATCCACTCATCTGTGGCCTTGATTAATTGGGCCACAGAGACCAGACAGGTCAGTCAGCTGGCGAAGGTGCCCTCAATCCCCAGGGCCTGTGGTGCTCCATCTGGGCTCTTCGGACACAGACACACAACCCCAACTCTCTCTGTATGCAAAAGGACAGTTCTCTATGCATTCAAGGAGAAGTAGAGGCTGAAACAGAAACTTTTGCCTAGTGCATTAGAACAATTACGGAAAAAAAGGATTTAAGCATCCAGAATTACACAGAAAATTGCTCAGTTTGTCATTTTGCACACGAAGGTGTACCAAAGTCATTCATTATAGATTTGTCTATCTTAGCATATTGAACTAAACATAATAATTTAGAGTCTGCTGTTGAAATTACTTATAATATATGGAAGACATTTCTTAACTCAGGGGACCGGTGGTGAAAATTATACATATGCAGAAGTACATAACCATTTTCAGTCTTCAACTTCTAAATTATGCATACATATTACTATAACAAAGTTTTATTAAGACGAATAGATTATTGAATAAGATTCCAGCTGTCAACTGTGAACCATCAGTACTGAATTGTTATTTACCAAATCATAATTTACCAAGGAGATTTTCTTTCATCTCAGGGGAGACTGTAGGTGCTTACCAGTGGACTGTTGTATACTGATGCAAGCATCTTCTTTATTGTTTTGCACTGAAAAATAATTCTGGTGTGGGAAGGGGAGATTCTTTTTTCTTCCTTTACAGCCCTTCTAACTTTTATGGGCCCTGAAGATCCCAGACCGAAATCACTTTCCCTGTGAGCCCCTCTTTATTTGATGCTGATAAGGCTAAGAAGTATTAGGGAAGGAGGCATCATTTCTCTACTAATTACCTATGCGGTCTTGGGCAAATCACTTAGCCTCTCTCTTTCTCCATTTTCTCATTTGTAAAGTTAAGAATCAGGACTGGAGAAGCTCAAAGGCTCTTCCATTTCCAGCGGCCTAGCATTCTACAATGTGTCCCTGCTTTCTTTGACCTCGGGTCAATATCACTCTGTTACCTGACAGTATCTAATACTGCCTTGCCCCAAGTCAGAAAAAATGTTCTATTCCTTGGCTTCCCCACCAAATTAGGCTTCTCTTGGCACTCACAATCTTGGACAACTGGTGGCCCAGGTGCAAGGATACAGGGGGTGGGGGCCTTCCTTTGCACATCCTTGCTGGTAGCCCCACGGTCAGGCACCTGACATCAAGGTCACAGACAGATGGCACAGCAATCCCAGTCAGCACTGCTAGGCACACAACACTACTAAACGTACAGCACTTTTATAATAGTCGAGGACACTTAAGACACAGACACAAGGGCAGAGGAACTACAGACATTTTAATAATCAAATATGGGAAAGATCTTTTTGGTGGGAGTGGGAGGAATTCTTGATACTACCATTTAACTCCGTCTCCCTTGGATCTACACATCTGCATGTGACACTCAGAACAGCTGATGAAAACCGAAGGTCTAGCATTAAGCAGGTTGCCAAATGTCTGTGGGGTTTTCTTCCTCCTCTGCAACTTAATTGGTCATTTGTATTGGCGTCAAGCGTAGACAGCCTTGGGGGCTTTATGGTGAAATTTATTCCAATAGCTGAAGGTAGACTCTGCTGTGAGTATCCCGAAAAGGGGAAAGGTTCTGAAAAAAGGATGTAATTAGTCTAGAAATCAACAAAGCGAGGTCAATGCAAAAGCCAGGGGCATGTATCTGTAGCTGAATCAGGAGGGACAATGCAATGGTCCCGTCTGCCCAGTTCACTGCACTTGACTACACAAGCCTGGGAGCCGTAGGAGAGCCTTTCTAATCAGGACACTTGGGACCCACCAACTCTTTTGGTTGCGAAAGTGATTACATAGTGTTAATCTTTGAAACAGTCTTTAAAAACAAAAAAATTGTGCATGATCAGCTAGAAGCTGCTTTTCTTAAAGGGGGAAGGATGGTTTTTTGGGATCATCTCTGGCAAGTCCTGCCCATAAGCAGGCATGAGCCTGATCTCTAACCCCTTCTAGTCCATTTCCCCACTACTTTGAGTTCTTGTTAAAGTGACAGATGACATGGTGATGGGGGGTGGGAGAGTCTTCCCACTCTAAGGTTGAGATGGAGCCAAGAGTGCAGTGAGATTTTACAAATCTCCTTGAACTTAAAAAACAAACCAGAAACCTTGGCATTATGATGAGATAAAATTTAAATAGTCTACCATGGAACAAGTATGTTTGTAGTGATTGTGGTCTTTTGCTCTTTTAACCTTCCTAGTTCAAAGTGTCTATGCATTTCTACTTAGTGAAAACAAATGGGCACGTTGGGATTAAAACTCCAGAGTCAGAAACTGGCCCGTGTAATTCTGGCATTAGTATCACTTAGCTGTGACCAAATGAACTAAGTGCTTAAGAACAGCCAACTAAACACTTCTGTCAGTTATCAATCTCACCGCGATCCGAACGGAGCACAGCATGAGAATGGTGGCACTGTCCTCTTTAAAGTGACAGGGAACAGACATGGTGTGGTTTTGATGCCCATCAAATTATACCATTGAATTTAAAAATGTTTTAAATATCTCCCCTTATAATTATGTCAAGTATAGAGCTGTTTTAGTGTTTCCCATTTCAAAACATTCATGCCTGTTTCTTCCTGTCTGTTTGCATGACTGCCATTCATTTGACGTAATGTGTGGCACAATAGGTGACATGACTGAAATGGAGTGTTTTTTCTTTCATTAGTCAATATCTGGATCTTTGTAAGCTGCTCTAATTACATAGCATTCTGAAAAAATAAGACAGCTTTAGGACCAAGCAGAACATGAGCAGAAGGACTGTGTCTTTCCTGATTGTACTTGGTGTAACTTTCGGCATGATTATACCTTCCCAAAGAGGGGCAGTGAGCTGATTACTGAACAACAGCAATTTTTTTTTTTTTTAAAAACAGTATTTGTCACATTGCAAGGCATCTAGATGAGATTTCTGGAAAAGAACAAGCTACTCCACTCAAATGTATAACAAATGTGCTTGACTGGCATTTGGAAAGAAGAAACTCTTATTAAAATTTAACATCGACTTGGCCAGACTTTGGGCTGAATTGGAAGAACAAAGTGCTGCTCAGTAAAAAGCCAGGGATGGGGATGATGTGATTTCTACTCCTGAGGCTGAAGTAATGAAAAAGAGAATGGTCAACTAATTTCCTCATGGAAGGTCTGCATAATCTCAAATTCCAACGGCTATTTAGTACCAAATCTTGCCACTGCGCAGTGATTTTTTCCTTTTAAAATGCTCAATCTGTAGGCATATAGATCTGACTTCAGTGGAAAGAGGGACTATCCAGTGTCTACACTTGTCTCGAAGAGAACAAATGGTTCTAGATTGGTCATGGTGGCCCAATGACCTCATCTCAGCACTGTTCACATGGGGGCCTGGCCTGGCCAGCCTCGAAGCTTCTCCTCCACTCTAACCATGCTGGTTCTCAAAGGCTCTGAATGGGTAACATGGTTGCAACACTTCAGGGTATACAGGATTCCATGACAACTTCTAAACATCCTTCTTCTCTGTCCGTTATGTGCCCCAGGATCTTAAGCTAACACCTTGCCTCTATATTCTGAGAAAATGCCCAGTCCAGTGCTTGGGTTGGGATGGTGGGAGGCACTGAACCTAGGCTGGAATGCCCTTGCAGATGTGGCCACAGTGCTATTACTTGTCACAACAGCACCTATGTCAAGACGTGTAACGCCACTCATGACCTGGGCTTTCTTTGTGATCATGAAAAATGCACTGCATTCTATGCCTCTCACCACAGAAGGACTGCCCTGCTGGAGAATGAGTGTGTGGAGTAGGGAGGACTTCTTACGAGGCATTTCTTACAAAAGTAATCATGAGAGGACCTGTCACGATTTGCTCGGTTGGTCATGAAACGTCAAAGTTACCCAGAGCCTTAAACACATCAAGTACAAATGCAATACGTACAAGCAAGCTAATTCAATAGGATTCCTAGCAAATTATTAAACTCCATGGTAACAGGGCAAGGAATGGGTGCAGGGAGAGGGAGAGAGATGATAAGAGATAGAGAGATAGAAAGATGAGATATGCAAACCAGTTTTTTTATGTTTCCACTTTGAAGAGTCTGATCCCACTGGCAAAACTGAGATCCTGCCCCAACAGGCCAGAGGCCTCTGATTACAAGGACTGTATCTGAGCAGAGCTGCAGAAACTATAGCTCTAGTCCTCATAAAAATGGGAGGCAGTTTATTATCAAAATACAAACATGAAAATACTTCAAACCATTTCGTTAGCAGCATAATCCCAAATGCAACATTCCCTTTATCAATCAAGTTTCAATCCTGTGGCTTCAATGTGTCTGTCCTGCTAAAAATCTGCTAAAACTCTTAAAAGAGCAGTGCAAAAGAGAGAAAAGACATCTTTCCTTTTAAATGGCAGACAATCCTCATAAGACATTCTCTAGGGTTCTATTCTGAAGACTATTCAACCTGATTTGGGGCACTTTTTAAACAGCCATTTGGCACTTTCCATTCAGAGTTCTTAGGCACAGTGTGACAGAGTCAGCTTGGTGAGCCCTTCCCCATGCATTCGGTACAGCAGCTGAAACTCGGCAGGTAGCTGGTGGGACTCCTGCCACTTGGTGGTAAATTTGGTTCCTTTTTTGTCATAGTAATGGTATGGAAGATCTTCCCTTGTGTTGGGATCAAATCCAAAAGGCCAAAATCCATACAAGTGGATCTCTTCACATATAGCTGACGCAAGGGTGTACATAAGAATACCTGTGCTCAGTCGTTTGGGCGACAAATGTTTGTTTTTCCAGTACCTGTAGAACAATAAGTACATGTGGATTCAGAGGTCAGTGTCGAAAGTTTCAATCAGCTGGGTCAATATGACTGGCTGGGGAGGTGGATTTGTCCATGGTAATTTAAACAATGCTTGCTTTGAATTTATCTTTTAGGCCACAAAAAAACAAAAACCTCTGGGCATGACTTGGCTACATAATTTGTGAGACCCAGTGCAAAATAAAAAGGTGGACTCTTTGTTCAAAAATTATTGAAAATTTCAAGAGTATGAGAGCAAAGTATTAAACCAAGCGTCGGGCCCTTCTGAGCACGGGATTTCCTGCAGCCACACTGCCGGCACACCTTAGAAGCTGGCCCTGCCTCTGGGTCTTCCTTAAAGAGTGGTGGCTCTGCCTCAATGGTGACACAACAGATGGCCACTGATGAGCATGACGCTGCTTCTCCTACATAAGGATCCTGGATATGGTGGAGGAGGTTGTTTAACCTAGGGGGACCTCCTCTGTTACTTCCCTTCCCAAATCTAGAAATAAATCCTTTCTGGGTTTGGAAAGGCTGCAGGGCCTTATTTTTTCAGCACCCTCTTGTAAAAAATGATAATCCCTGTTTCCCCGCCTTCTAACTAGGGATTCCCAAGCCTGTCTTCAGCATGCCAGGACCTAAGGAATGTATTTACACACTTTCTGAATTTAAAAAAAATGCTAAATTATGGTTATTGTTCCTTTCATATTTAGATAGTATTCTGAAGCCTTCCTACCCACCCTGTCAAATATTCGAGACTTCCGTGGGGCCGGGGGAGACGTATTTATCATTGTGTGTGGACAGAATTAAACTATTCATGAATCAGGTTTCTATGGGCTGTATTTCCTTCCAGTTTTCACTGATCCAATGTATTTGGTTCAAGCCTGAATGGCTGTGAAAGATTCTGGTTAACTCCACAGGCCTATGGTGGCAGGTAGGACACACAGGCCAGTTTCCAGAAGTTTCTAGGAACATACAGTTCCTTTTTTACTACTTGAAGGCTTCAAAGATGAACCTTTCCCTTTCCAGATGAAATTGAAAAGTTCAGCCTTGGTTTTAATGTTCTTACCTAAGGAGTTAGAATGAGTCTGACCGTCCTTTTGGCACAGTTGAACTTAAATTGAGCAAAAGGGGAACAAAATGATGAGGTCAAAAGACCACTGGACTGGCTGGCAGAAGGTCTGCCTTATAATTCTGGCTCTGCCCATTCTGGGCAACGACTTTGGGTAAATAAATTCTTGCTGCTTTAAACTTAGGAGTTGGGCTACATTACCTTTTAAAAGGGTTTCCATGCATCCTGGGAAACTGGGACAGCCCCAGTTGATGTCTGTTATCCCTGCTGTAATTATTCCTATCACCTCCTTTCTCTCAAAGAAAAAGTTCCAGTTTGGACTGTAAATTATGGTATTATCCCACCACTGAGATACATACCAGTGCATTAGACTACGATTCCTCCTCCTATGTGACATCAGCTACACAGATCTTAAATTTGGAGGACTACGGGATGGAAATAATCTATTATGGAATAAAAATCTTTAGCATTCCCTGTTTACCAGATCTCCCAGAACCCACTCCAACTCATAATGATATCTGTGGCTACGTTAAGACACTGGAGCTATTTACACAGGGCAATCTGGAGTTGAGGCAGTTTTTCTCAGATGATTTAAAAGAAAAAAATATCTTACAATTAATCTTGCTTTATAAAATACTCTGGATTAGTGGCTCTCAATTCTGACTGCATATTGGAATGATCTGGGGAGTTATTAAAAAATACTGAGTACCTGGTTCCCACTTCCCTCCCCATCAGAAAAACTGCATTAGTGTCTCCTGAGGTAGAGTCTAGGCAAAAGTATTTTTTAAAGCTCTTCAAGTGGTTCTAAAGTACAGCCAGAGTTCAAAGTCACCAGCCTAGACTAAAATATTGCATCTCTGCTCAATCTGTCTATCAAATTACAAGGGATAACAACAAGCTCATAAAACACTTTTCATATGTTTTTTTCATTCAAATATTAGATTATAAGGGCAGGTTGTACAACTTATTATTTATCTAGGTGATATGCTAATCTTGAATATCTATGAAACACCTAAATATCAAATAAAAGAGAAAAATTTAAGCCAATTGCATCTTCTTTAAAAAAACCACTTGACTTGTCTAATTTAATCGCTGGCATTATTGGAACACAGCTATCCATTTAAAGAAAATTCTTGATTTGTGGTGATTTCCATGACTGCTTGGTTAGGCTTACTATCCAGGGAGGGGATGGACAATAGAGAAGGGAGACCGATGGAACACCAATCCCTCCATTTGGCACTTGGTTACCAGCTGGGGGTAGACTGAACTTCTTACCTAGAATGATTCATTCATTCATTACAACAGATAAGAGTTTGCCCTAAAGTACTAAACTAACCACAGCAACTAACTAATTGGATGGCTCCCTCCCCCAAGAGATTACAATATTGATTTGGCATCTGGTGGGGTATGAGTAAAATGCAATAAAATATACACACCTGTTGACATGTTGCATTATATTTCCAGGCCAAGCCAATTGGACCTTTAACTGACCTCTGTGTTCAACAAAAAAGTCAACTAATGTTCTGGTAACAGTTGCTGAAGTGTGGAAGAAAAATGCAGGGATCCAAAGAATGGCCCCATCAAGCTTTTTTAAACTGAGGAAAAAGTTGTTACGGTCCTGTATGGTCAAAAGATTGTTGTAATATTTTTCCAGGATGCTGGGGTTGAAGGTGGTAAGGTTGGTTTTCCTTCCAACATCTCTTTGGAAAGCCTCCGTAGGGGCGAAATTGCAACGGAAAACAAAATCTGATTTATCTATTTCTTGTCCACACTGGCTCCCTGTCAGGATCCCACTATTTCCAACCACAGCACAAATATTATAATGCTTATTCACAATGGGTGACACATCTGGAAGGAGGGATCGGAAGTTATTGCTAATAGAGAAAACATACTTATGGCTGGAATAATCATAGTGCATCAGTTGTCCAATCCGAACACTATTCTTGGTCAAAGAAAAATTTTTTATTACATCGACATGCTGAAGAATTTCTTGCCTAAAATAAAAAGAAATTCATTAAATGCATTCCATTCAAAAGAATCGATTTTCCATCTTATGTCTTATGCTGCCATTTCATTCAGACAAAAATCTCAGGCACATTCAATCCAAGAAAAATTACACATTCATAATTGTGGTCTTTGAAGAGAGGATTGCTTTAGAATCTGCAGACATGTTTTAATCTTTCAGTCAAGTTCTGAATGTAATCCTTTGAGGCTTGTAAGTGCAACTTACAGTTTTAGCTGCCATTCCTTGGTTTTCTGCTCTATGTGAAGAGTGTATTTGATCAGGCAGGAGGCATAGGCCAAACTGTGTCAGACACAGTTTACAATTTACGCAATTGGAAGAGCTCACATTCATGCACAAACATTAGTGACTTAGAGTTTGTAACTAGGGTCTACTTTGCTATTGGATTGCAGTGTTCAAAGAATATCAAATATCACCAGTGTCCAAACAAGAACCAAATAGATATGAGTCAGTACAGCACCATCTATTATTAAAATATGAAGATGGTAATAGCAGTGGGTGTAGTTGAATATTTAATAGAAATGAGACGATAATCTCATTAAGGTGCTTTGAATAATGGAACAAGGATATTTTTCTACTTGATTATATAGAAACACAATTTAGGTGAAGAAATCTAGTCCTTGGAAAATGAGGCTATTGTAAATCCTGAAAATGGATATATATTCTAACAATTCAGAGCATAAACAAAGCAAGAGTGATACCTGGAACTAATTTCAGGTTGCTTCCATATTGAGCTTTAAGTACAATTAAGTGTCTCCTCTTAAAGTCTCAGCTATTTAAAATATTCAAGAGACCAGTAACATGTTACTTTGCTGCTAGACTCTCCAGTGCTAAGCAATCACATTGAATCTCTTGTTTCTTTTGCCTAAAAAATAGCATGAAGGAAATGAAATGCTTTGCAGATCGTAACTTTGCTTGGAATTTTATTTTAAAAAACTACTCCATTCTTCAAAGCACAGAGCAACATAAACTGAAATCTTCAATCCAAAACTTCCAAAGTTACCAGTACTGTTCTTACAAGCTGTTAAAAAGGTAAGG